TTCATGAGGAAATTACATAATTCCAGGGGTTTGAAAATTGAAATTCAAAAACCAGGGACCAAGTTTCATTATTCAAAAATCAGGTAATATATAAAACCCCATATCCCTAATTTTTCACTCTCTACTCCCTCCCATCTCTCTCTCTCTCTCCTCTCATCCTGTCTACTTTCTCCCTCGTTTAATGGCGCCACCGGAAGACAAGAAGGCGCCACCGGAGCTGTACGAAGTCTGTCGTTCTCAGTGGCGTCGAATGCGACGTTGAGGCTGCTGTCGATCCCGGTAGTGCACCCTCCACCGCTGCATACAATCGTGCGTAGTGTAGCCGCAGATTCGTTGACTCGTGAACAACTTTTATCTATTGCTATCAATTTCAGGATTTGCTCTCCTTACAGCTGTACAACTGCTTTGGGTCAATCTGATTATGGACACTTAGGTGCACTTGCACTGGCTACTGAACCGCCACATGAAGGATTGATGAAACAGCCACCTGTTATGAGGACTGAAGGTTTCATTACCAGGACCATCTGGAGGAATATTCTTGGTTAGAGCATTTATCAGTTGACTGATCTTCTAGTCCTCAATTTGTTCGGAAAAAGTTACTAGGGCTTAGTGGTCCTTCAGATCCGTCAGATCGCTAGTCGAAAATTGGAATCAAATGCCCAAATCAAACGAACCCTAGATGAGTTGGGCAGCGACATTTGGTGGTTGTGTTGTTTTCAGTTTGAAAATGGTTGTGTTTTAGTGGTGGTTGTCATGGTGAGAGGTGGTGGTCTTGGTGGTTGTTCAGTGGTGGTGATGCGATGATAGTCGTGTAGGTTGATTGCTGGTGGCGAAGGGAGTGATGGTGGCTATGGTGGTGAAGACGGTGGTGGTATGTCTCTCCATTGGTGTGCGATCTGGCGGCGGTGGTGGTGGTGGTGTGATGTGGTGGTGTTGGCAAGAGGTGGTGGCGGGTTTGTGGTGGGTGGTGTGGTGGAGGTGGTTGTCGGTGGTTTTGTTGGTGCTGTTGCGGCGTGATGAGGGTGGTCAAAAGTGTTATAGTGGTAGTGGCAGTAGTATGTGACCAAATGTTGGTAATCTGTGACCAAATGTTTGGTAATTTGTGACAAATTACTCAACTGTGACCTAAAAATTTAATAATATGTGACTCAAAAATAATCTGTGACCAACTAATTTAAAAATCTGTGACTTCGAAATAATCTGTGACGTACAAAATTATTAAACTGTGACCTCAAAATAATATGTGATCAATTAATTTAAAAATGTGACATGTGACCTATAATTATGTAT